CGTAACATAGATTTAGTATGTGTTGTAGATCTATCAAAAAAGCTACCGTAGATCTATCAAAATCGATACTTTTGCAGGAAAGACAATGCCCGAAATACCGTGTACAATTGTGGTTCGATAAAGTTAAAGAAATTCATATAAATTTAATAAAGAATTTTTTATTTTATTTCTTTCTAATTCTCAATGGATAAATATCAGGTATGCTTTGTCTTTTTATATAGATTGGCTTTGATATTTCGCAGCATTAAAACACCATTTATGCTCGCTTTTTCCTTATTTACAGAAAATTGAAAAGCTGGGAGAAGGTTTCTATACTATAACAATATACTTGCCAACACAGCCTCATTGCAAATCTATATACTAATGGCATGGTTTCGTTTATATCATCGTACTTAAGGAACGTACGGAATTGTGTATAAGGCACAAAATAAGGACACAAATGAGGTGGTTGCTCTGAAACGTATAAGGTTAGATAACGAAGAAGAAGGGGTAAGTCGAAAATTTATCGGGCTTCGTAATATTATACATATAGCATAATAAATTAACAAAATTGAATTGATTTAAGGTTCCATGTACTGCCATTCGTGAAATATCATTACTTAAAGAATTAAAACACGCAAACATAGTAAGGTAAATCTATATTTTATTGACAACCTTTTTTCTTATATATTTTTTTTCGTGTATTTAGAATAATTAATTGAACCATTTTCATAAAAAGACTTTATGATGTCTTACATACGGAGAAAAAGTTGACACTAGTATTTGAATATTTGGATTCGGATTTAAAGAAATTCTTAGATACTTACGGGGGTGATCTAGACGTATTAACAATTAAGGTACCAAAATAAATAATATATATATATCTATTTTAATTTACTATAGCCGCCTCTTTTATTAAATTTATATTATTTCATAATAGCAATTAATGTATCAACTTTTGAAAGGCATCGCTTTCTGCCATGAGCATCGAGTCTTGCATAGGGTAACCACAGATTATAGATTATCCAAACCATTATTATTTATTCATTATTATGTTATAAATATATTAATTGAATTAAAACTGATAGGATCTCAAGCCACAAAATTTATTAATCAACAAGGTAGGTCTTTTTTTCGAGCCAATTATGTATGCATATAAGATCGACTTTAGACAGATATATATTATTTTTATCAAATTAGAAATGCGAGTTGAAATTGGCTGATTTTGGTCTTGCACGCGCTTTTGGAATTCCAGTACGAAGTTATTCACATGAGGTTAGAATAATTGATCTGGAAGATTGCACAAAACTTGGATTTTTATTCTGATTCAGAAAAGACATTTTTATAGGTAGTAACGTTATGGTATCGTGCGCCTGACGTTTTGATGGGATCAAGGCAATATTCTACATCTATCGACGTATGGTCGGCTGGATGTATATTTGCAGGTATATTAGGAAGCATGTTTTGCGAATTTTATCTACTTTTGGCAAAAATTTTACTATTATTATTATTTATATTTAGAAATGGCTTCTGGTAGACCGTTATTTCCGGGAGGATCTATTAAAGACCAATTATTGAGAATATTTAAATATCCTTTCCTTGGATAAAAAAAACTCTTCCGAACTCTTGATTCAAAATTTTTTATGTTAAATCCTTGACCACTTTGCACAGTTCTAGGAACGCCAACAGAGGAAACATGGCCAAAGGTCTCACAGTTGCCAGATTACAAAGTATGTGTAACTAGCATTGCGCAATCTTCGTTTAAGCATATTATGCACATAGAATATAACAATTAATTATTATATGATTATCTTTTATTATACATAGAATGATTTTGCTATTTATACCCGGATGCCATTGGAGTCACTTCTTCCAAAGCTAGATAAACATGGCATTGATTTATTAAGTGTGAGTTGATTTATCTTTGTTTTGGCTAAGAGGCCTTATTGAAATATGAATATTGTCTTAATTCAAGATTTGTTCAAATTATTGTAGAAATTAATAGAATATCAACCCGAGAAACGTATAAGTGCTGAAGATGCATTGAAACACCCGTATTTTGAAGAGATTCGCAAAAAGGAAACGTTACAACAGTCCTCCGTGTAAATTAATAATATTTTTATATACTTGTGATGTTTCTTCCTATTCACCATTTTGGCTAGTGTCTGTATAATACCATAATATAAGTGGTATAATTTAATATCTTATAAAATAAACAACCAGAAATTACAATACGAAGATTTGACGGTGTGAAGAAACCTTTATTGTACTTTATATCTTAGGGTAATTTAATATTATTGTAAGTAGCCACCCGCGCATTATCTATACATTAAAGCAATTATTAAATAATATTGGAGAACTTACAAAAGTATGAGTTTTTTTTTTAAGATGTGTGAACATATTAGTCTGTAAGAAAGATTAGATCAGTTGTTTTGTATTCATTAGGTTTGGCAATTAATATAATTTAAATTCTAGTAATTATATAATATAATATCTAAAAGATAATAAATATTAATAATTTGGCCTCTTTTTTATAATTATCCGCATTGGTCTAGTGGTTAGGATCTCCCGCTCTCATTAAAGAGTCCCGGGAAGGCCGGGGTTCAATTCCCCGATGCGGAATCTACCGAATTTTTTTTTTTATTTTTCCCGATGTGTTAGCGATTATACATAAAAAGAATGTTTGTGTTTGTGCACGCTAAATTTGAATTGTTTGTGTTCGTCAGTAACGATAACGATAAACTCTAAATTTGATAATCTATTTGAAAACGTTAACAATGGGAGAATTTTTTCAGAATTTACTAATTCACATATCTACCATTTTTCCTTAAAAAAAAAAAAAAAAAAAAAAATAACTTCTTTAAAATAAAAAAATTTCAAATTTTTTTTATGTTTTTACTATAAAAAAATTATCGGG